TTCCGCGCCGCGAATTGCCCAGCCAAAGCTTAAATGGGTATGCATCGTGTGTCAACGCGGCGCACACACGCGGTCTTACCGCAGCAGTGGCTGTCCAATCAAAGAGAAACTGGGTCCACCGCTCAAGAGCACCTGGGTTGATTGAGCAAACGTCGAGGCGGCAGTGGGATGATGCTTGAGTCCAGCTTACATCTTGTCCGACCCAAGAAGACGAGGAAGCAGGGGGCGCTCGTTGACAACCGGTCCGGATGCGAGCACAAACCTTCTCCAGACGGATGAGAGCCCCCAGCTCAGCATCCAGGCGGTGTGTGGTGATGACATCGTCGGCGCTCACTTTGTACTGCTTGCCAGCCACTTGGACCACGGCAAAGAAAGGGTTGCCGCGCTTGAGGTCCCGGGTGACGGCCTCAGCCACGGTCTGTTCCGAGGTCAGCTCAAGCTTGGGCTGAGTGACGGCAGTGCGAACGCCCATTGGTTGCCGGGTGAGGGCTTGGCGCAGGGCTGTGACAGGGGCCAGACCAGCACCCTGCGTCGGCAACCGCAAGGCTGGCGTCACCAGGGACACGGCACGTCGCCACATGGCAATGTTTAATATAAAAGTCAAGATGGTCTCAAGCCTGGTTGGTCGATGCCTACGGTGATCCGATCATCAAGTAACCCAGCGCCCACCCCACATCAAGAACGAGAGAGAAAGGAAACCAAGGGCAGACACCAAGGAACAGAGTCGGTCCGGGTTCAGCAAGGGACGGAAGCGACAGCAACAACGCAGAGTTCGTGAGGGCAAAAAGAAGAAGAAAATAAAACACCAGCGTACAGACTAAACAGGCCAAGGCCCAGTCAATGCTTTGGCTGCGCCCTGTTGTTCAACCATCAGCTCGACCGAACCCGGACCCAACCCGCTGCCCTAGCCCCAACGACGTTTGGCTGTTGCCACTTCCACTCGTTTCATCGGACACGAAGGCCCACCAACCTGCACCCCGTCAAAGCAGGCATCGAACAACTTACCCTCTCAGAAACCGTA